CGACTGAAAACTAGCTCAATCTGACTCAGACAACTTACAGGGGCTAAATTCGTAAAAATATCTTCTGTTTTTTTGTTTGGTCACAAAGGACTATACTGTAATTTCATACCACTTTTAGGTTAGATTTGCATTTGATTGAAGTTTGGGTCTAGTATTGGGGTCAAAACCAAGTTGTAGGTTAGTTTTGGCAAAAACCCCACTTAACAAATACAAAATTTCTGTATCTATTTATCTCTTATCAATCCATAAATACTAAACTAAAAAATACAAAACATTTAGTGATATCCTAGACTTCTGTATCAAAATATGTAAAAAATAAAATGCTGAAAACTCTCATTTTACAAAGCATGTTTATTGCTTAACTTACGTGAACACAATGCCCTGCTGAAATATCAACCAGTTGTATTTATTTCCACGTTAAAATATTACAATAAATATTCAAAATATCTAGTGATGATCGTGGTGTTCAAAAAAAAAAAAAAAAAAAAATCTAGTGATGATCGTGATCAGATTCAAATACGTTCAAGTTTTTCAGTCAGTTTTCTGTTCTTGATCAGAAAGACGTCATCACACAGAAACACAGAATCTAAAACAAGCGAAAGCAGAACGTGACACACGCGCCGCAATCGATCGTGGTATAGAATATGTCACTATTACCGCCTGCTCATGCTGCACCTGCACCACACTAACTCCCTCGCATCCAGCTGTGACCAAAATTGAATGATGTCTACGTAACCTCATGAGAAAGTGTGGAACACTCGCCTTTTGCTGGGACCCACTCAGTGTCAAGTGTCTGAAACTGACTTCTGCCTGTCCAAAGTATCTTGTTTTTCTTTTGTAGCTTAAACGACACGTGGTTAGTCTCACGTGGTTACTGTAAAGATGCTTCCTCGGTGACTTCTCCATGACTCAAATTCGGCGCTTCTCCACGTTTCCGTATTTGTTATATAAGACCTCGTAATATTTATGTATTATGACTTTGAGTTCTTCTGTTTTGAATCTTAAGATTATACCTTGTTTCTAATACAATTCCAATTCAGTCCAGGGAAACAATATTCTTATATATACTTTTGTTTGTCGGACGTATATCCTGTTTTAGAGCATCTCCAACTCCACTCCATAATTTACTGCAAAATGGAGTTGGAAATGGAGTGATGAATAAACAAAAAAGTGATTACTATATAAATGGAGTAATAGGTTTTTTGTTTGTTCATTACTCCATTTCCCACTCCATTTTACAGTAAATTATGGAGTAGGGTTGGAGATGCGTACCTTCACAGCTTTATAGAAATATTGACATCGTATTTTTGTTAATCTTATAATTTATTATGTTGTGAGAAGTATCTGTTAGTTGCTATGTTTTTTTTTTATTTTTTAAATGCGAATAATATATTTCCTTAAAAATTTGAAGTAAACTTTTTTTTAACATTGTTATAATAAATTAAAGAAATTCAGAGTCATTTATAAATGTTTTTGATAGTGAAAATATTAATTTATATTGATACCACAGTTTGAAAATGGATTTTAATCTGAGACATCTAAGATTTAAAAGTTAAAAGCTTTTTTCTTGTATTTAATAGAAAATATGAAGTTTTTGAACATTCAAGTACCTTCTGTAATAATCTTATAATTTATTATGTTGTGAGAAGTATCTGTTAGTTGCTATGTTCTTTTTTTCTTTTTTAAAGGCGAATAATATATTTCCTTCAAAATCACTATCAAAAACATTTATAAATGACTCTGAATTTCTTTAATTTATTATAACAATGTTAAAAAAAAGTTTTATATTGATACCACAGTTTGAAAATGGATTTTAATCTGAGACATCTAAGATTTAAAAGTTAAAAGCTTTTTTCTTGTATTTAATAGAAAATATGAAGTTTTTGAACATTCAAGTACATTATACATAGAGCAAGTTATTGATTATGGGAACAGCTGGTAGTTTCAAATAAACAATTATGATGATAGATATTTTGAATTTTGCCACTGATATTTTTTGACGAAGCCACAAGATTGTTACACACGTCCTCTTTGGCATAAAGGAGAAGTCTAATTTCAACAAGCTTGGGACAGCAAGAAAGCATGACAATCCCACTTATACTACAACACGTTGCATAATTTAGCTGTAACGAAACAGACCTACCACTACCGCCACGTGACTATCAAAGGAAATGCGTGCGGCCAAACCTATAACAAAAGAGATCACCAGGACGTACATAAGAGCATTTCAATGGGATATTTTGGTGTGTATTGGCCGGTTAAGTTGATTGTATCAAATATTGAATTAGGAGACTAAACTATTTGTATACAATTTTATACACGCAACCTTACATGATTGTCTTGGAAACTTCTTTCCATGTGATGCTTCACGACATGGAAAGAGATATGATAACATGATGGTTAACTACAATTTTTGAAGAACCCGGGTGTTCGAGCAGGAAATTTTGAGGTTGTTGACATATGCTGTGTACTTTCTTCAATGGAGAAGAAAGTATAAAACTTCAAAAGAGTGAATGAGTCGATGATATTTGAGGAAAATTGAGTGAAAAGATGAGAGCGACGGAAACAAACTGAGAAACCCAAAGGCCCTTTAAATGACCCCAAAAGGCCTGCAATCCACTCATAGAACATCTCTAAAATTTGGTAACAAGGTAGCATGGGGATCTTAATTGATCCTCAAAGTCATCAGGCTTTATATTTCCTTAACTACGAGTCTCATATTATTCGTAGATACATTATACTTTTTTAGGATAAGGAATTTTTTCTTCTTCTAAAATAACTATGGGAAAAAAATTTAAGTTTTGAAATTTCTATAAATACAGGTCAAAGGATTGTAAATGATTCACATAGTAATATATAAACACTTAACTGGTATTTGCCTCAATTGTTTTGGTTTCTTTGTTTTCTTTGAGTTTGATTCACGTTTATTCATAACAGGAAACAATATAAAATACATTTTAATTAGAGAGAGAGATATCTGCACATACAACTTTAACTCAATGATATATAGATTGATTATAATTTCCTAGAACCATGAAACTACGATTTCCTAGAGCAAAGAGTATGAAACATCCATTAGTGTAACTTAGTTAAATTGCATATGTATTTAATCTATATTATTGATTTTAAAAATTTTGGTTCCTGTTTAGTAATTGGTTCTTTCTTATCGACAATGCCAATTCAGTTTTGGAATTTTCTTTTGTTTTTCATACATTTTCAACACAGTCAAATCTTCCCTACCATTTGATTCCAACCAAACCTCAGCTAACATAGTTAGAGACGGATACTAATAGCATAAAAGAAAAAGGCTTTGTAGGCACGCAAGTTTGTGTGAAATTTTTTAAATAATATAAATTTGAAGGCGTTGTGTTAATATTGATTAGTCATAACGACTATAAGTCTTACGATCATAGCTGTATAATATTACAACACACATACGTTCTGTTAGAATTCCAAGCTCTCTGTTCATCTGTAACATTATTGGTCAGGTAGGCAACTAAACACGGACCAGATTTATTTATATATATATATATATTATTTTTTTTTTGAAAAAGGTTTCACTTTCGCAAATGATTTCACTGACCAACATAACTGAAAAATTCTAACTAACCTAAGATAAACTGAACCAAATAAATCAAGGGAATCAATGCGGTTGGACTATATGGTAAGTTTCTTCCCGGTCGAATTAAACAAAACAAAACCGAATACAAACCATTAAAATACATATAACCATAATATTACCTATATCCACGATGAAAAATCCGTACCCTAATTCACAATTTTTTTTACATTTATACTTGTCTATGTTTCAGATTCTAAATATTCCCACATTAATAAATTATATTTAAAGCTTTAATTGTTTTTCGTATGGACTACATGCATGCTTATATAATAAGGCCAGTAACCTAACAAAATCTGTATATTTTATCTGTACGCGAGGCCAGATTTGGTGCGTTCTGCCAACAATTTGGACAAAATTGGTTAATTTGAAACAATTATTTATTGTCAACCACATACATATAATACATTACGTGCGCTATTTCATCAGAGAAATACACGTGACGTGTATAATCGTGTTTTCTTGACATTTCTCTATGACTATATATATACTATTGACTTGTCGAACATTTTTCAACATAAAAAAAAACATGTACAATTACGGTAGGTGCAAGATAAACTGCCATTGCAATAGAGACGAACCAATCCAAAGCTTATAACACAAAACGTTTATATTTCATTTTCTTCCATTCTCAGTCGACACAAAATCAATATTCAATCACCTAACCAAACAAAAAAAAGTAACAAACAGTGATGAAGCAAGCTAAAACGACTTCCGATTCTGTCGTGTCAGAATTTGAAGGGACGATACTGAGGAACGAAGATCCATTCTCTTACTTCATGCTCGTCTGTTTCTTTGGCCCGTAATCACACTCCTTGACGTTTTCAGCTACAAGAACGCCGCTCTCAAGCTCATGATTTTTGTAGCCACCGTTGGTTTACGCCAACCGGAGATTCAATCGGTGGCTAGAGCAGTCCTGCCCAAGTTCTACATGGATGACGTGTGCATGGATACTTGGAAGGTTTTTAGCTCGTGCAAGAAGAAGGTTGTTGTGACGAGAATGCCTCGAGTTATGGTGGAGATGTTTGCAAAGGAGCATCTTAAAGCTGATGAGGTCATCGGTCCAGAGCTGATCGTGAACCGGTTCGGTTTTGTTACTGGTTTGATACGTGAAACCGATATTGATCAATCTGTTTTGAGCCGTGTTGCTGATTTGTTTGTTGATAGTAGGCCTCATATAGGTCTAGCAAAACCTAGCAAGACGATTTCTACAACATTTTTATCCTTATGTGAGGTAAACATTGCATCATTATTGCATGAACCAAATCCTATAAATATACATAGACAAAATACTTAACTCTAATAATTGTTACATTTCTTAAAAAGGATTTTAATTAGCAAATTTTTAAAATTTTATTATCTAATTTAACCCATGTTCTAGGAATTGTCCGCCTATACTACAAATCATCATTCATAAACAAAATGAATTTTCTAAAATGATTTTTAAAAGATCGGTTTATATATACAGTAACTTTTTTTGAAACACTAATCTACTATAAATCGCATAACTATTACAACTAATTTATATTTACAATACATTTTCTATTATTATTAAAACTAATATAAATTCTTCTCGTATATTTATATATAGGAGCATATTCATGCACCAATTCCAGATAACTACAACCACCGTAACCAACGGCCATTTCCGGTAATCTTTCACGACGGACGCCTTGTCAAGCGGCCAACTCCACCCACCGCTCTCCTCATCCTCACATGGATCCCATTCGGTATCATTCTCGCCACCATCCGGATCTTTCTTGGATCCATCCTCCCATTATGGGCAACACCTTACATCTCTAAACTATTCGGCGGCCAGATCATCGTCAAAGGCACACCTCCTCAACCACCAGCCCCCGGAAAATCCGGTGTTCTCTTCGTGTGCACTCACAGAACCCTAATGGACCCGGTTATATTATCCCACGTGCTAGGACGCAGCATCCCCGCCGTCACTTACTCAATCTCACGCTTATCCGAGATCTTATCTCCCATCCCAACCGTACGTTTGACAAGAGTCCGAGATGTAGACGCAGCAAAGATCAAACAACAACTCTCTGAAGGCGATCTTGTTGTTTGTCCCGAGGGAACCACTTGTCGTGAACCGTTCTTGCTAAGGTTTAGTGCACTTTTCGCTGAGTTGACGGATAGGATTGTTCCCGTTGCTATGAATTATAGAGTTGGATTCTTCCACGCGACCACAGCGAGAGGCTGGAAAGGTTTAGACCCGGTTTTCTTCTTCATGAACCCGAGACCGGTTTACGAGGTTACGTTCTTGAACCAGCTTCCGGATGAGGCTACGTGTTCGTCTGGGAAGAGTCCGCATGACGTGGCGAATTATGTTCAGAGAATCTTGGCTGCTACGTTAGGGTTTGAGTGTACTAACTTCACGAGGAGAGATAAGTATAGGTTTCTTGCCGGAAACGATGGAACGGTGTCGTATTTATCGTTTCTTGACCAGTTGAAGAAGGTGGTGAGCACTTTCGAGCCGTTTTTACATTGAAATCGAATTAGTAAATTACTATTCCGTCGAAAAATGTCCTCAATCGGTTTTTAATTGCTTCCAATCTTGATTTATTTTTGCTTGTGATTAAAGTCTGGATTGAATTTTGTTTTAATAGATGTTTGTGTTTGTATTTTGTTTACAAATTTTGCTCTTTTTGCACAAAGATAGTGTCATTCTTCTTTTTGTAACTTGCACAAGTTTATAAGGAGAGCTGAAAATAACAAGCAAATAACTGGCTAATATAATGCATGAAAAATGTTATATAGTCGTCTCGTCGGTCGCATGATTCACCATTTGGCTTCTAGATATGTATGTCCATTAGCCAGTCGGATTACTGATTAGAGAGTCACTGTCATAAACTATCTTACTTGTTGTCCGATAGAATCATTGGATGACATTCATATGAGTGCGGGCCCTCATAATCTCAAACGTCAGTAAACTTAAAATCACATCATTTAAATGAAGTCACATCGTAATTTTGTGTTTGGTAGGTTCCCTTTTCTATAAGAGCACCCAAATTGATGAACCCCTCCTTGGGGGTTCACACAAATAAAAAAATAATTTTTTTTTATTTTCGTTTACTTTTTTTTTTTTTTTTTAAAAATTAATATTTGACCAATCATATGTTGACACGTGGTAAACCCGGGGTCAACGGGGTTCACTGCGGTGAACTTTTGAGAGATGGATTCATAGAAATCTGATTTTAATTTTATTATTTTTTCTCGGTTTACGTGTGAACTCCCCCCATCAACCCTTGATGGGGTTGCTCTAACAAAACGTATAGTAAACAAATATACCAAAACAATATAAAATGCAACTTATTACACACTTCCTAAATATTACCATTATGATTTATATGATTTGTATTTTTATAAAAACTTAATCACAACAAAATGTTGGCTTTATCCTGCATGTGTTCTAAAACGCGGCTGCGGAGACCGACTTTGCGGCGATTAAACGTGCGGCGGAGCTCTAACGTTGCGATTTGGACCAAATCGGAGATGTAGGTGGAATTTTTTAAAAAATTCTTTGTTTTTGGTTCTTTTGAAGCTCAAAATCGATATGTATATGACTAATTTATAAGTTTAGTGTATTAATCGCGAAAGAAACGCAAAAGAACTGAAGAAAATGTGAAGAAAATCTATGGCGGCCGTAGAAATATTTGCAGAAACCTTAATTTCTAGTGAAGAAGACGAAGCTGTAATTACACAAATACCCTTCACTAAAAAAATCACAAAAATTAGAAGAAGTTAACCTACATGAACTTCGAACTCCTTACCTGAAACAAAAAATTGCTAGAAACTTACCACCCGACCACGCCAACACATTTGTTTTTCGTTATATAAATAACTACTTATACAAACTATTTTTAAAAATTAAAATTAAATTTAAAATTAATTTCCCATTATTCCTCGTTTTATCTCCGATTTTTTTCTCTAGACGCTAGACCTAATCCTGTCGTCCGACTAGCGCCTAGCGCGTTCTCGAACATGGACTTTATCTATGAGTTTGCAAACTTATTTGTATTATTATATTTGCCATCTTATAAACCAAAAAAAAAATACGTAAAGTAACCAAATAACTAGATAAATAAGCCTTTTTTCAAAAAAAAAAAAAAAACTTGATAAATATCTATAAAATCTTAAATTCCTTTATAATATCCCGGCCGGAAAGAAAAAAAAAGTAAAAAAAAAAGGATTTTATTGCTGAAAGAAAAGAAATAAAAATAAACAGGAGAGTGTTTTGTTTTGTTTTACTTTACTTTATTTTGTTCCTTTTTTCCACTTGATCTGGTGAGCATCTCTCTCTCTCTCTCTCTCTCTCTCTCTGAGCTAATGAATGATGAATGATTGCTTTGGTACTTGGATCTCTTTTCTATCTTCAACCTCTGATTTGATTGATTGATTCTCCGAGATTAACATCTCTCAACCTTTCCCGCGTAATCTCTCCCTCTCTCTGTAGATTGTTCTTCCGTTATTACTACAACTAGGTCTTGAATCGATTTTACACGGATCTCTCTGTTTTGTCTTGTTTTGAATACCAAATCTCATAGCTTATGTTCCAGCTCAAATTCGAGCTCCCTCTTTGTCTCTTGTAATAACGCAGATCTCGTCTTGATCTTCAGCTAGGGGTTCGTGTATGTTCTGTCTTTTAGTTATCTTACCTGTTTTAATCATATTTTCATTTTGTGAAATTGGAGTTAGAATCTATAAATTAGGGATTAGGTTTTTCCTCTTTCCTGGAAATGGTTTTCAAGTGTTTAGAGCTTATTTAGAAACTCTAAAGACTTGATTTTTACCTGCCAATCCCAAAAAAATGGTTACTATAGACCACTTACTAATTTAGTGTTGTTTACTAAGATGAGTAAACCAAAAGTGCTCTGCTTTCTGGTTTTTCTATGTATGTTTGGATTGGATTCTCATTCATCTCTAAATTCATATCTTAATGATTCCTTTAAAATGTTCTTTTAACTTGTGTGTTTGGCCAAAGATCTCTCCTTGTTGCATAGTTTGTCTGTTTCCATTTCATTTCTTTTGTTGATAACCACACTGGTGATACGGATAATATTTATATATTAAAGGGTCTTGGAGTTGTAATCTACAAATTAGGGATTAGGTTTTCCTTTTTCATGGAATCTACTGGAATGGTTTCAATGTGTTTAGAGCTTATGTGGTTAGGATCCATTTAGAAACCAAGTATAACTCCAAAAACTGGATTTTTTACCTGCCAATCCAAAAAATGGTTACTATAGACCACTGGCTAATTTAGTGTTTAATAAGATGAGTAAGGCCCTACTCCATATGCATATCTAATGCTTCCTTAAAATGTTCTTTAAGTAGTGTTTTGGCCAAAGATCTCTCCTTGTTGCATAGTTTGTCTGTTTCCATTTCATTTCTTTTGTTGATAGCTACGCTGGAAATACTATTAAAGGGTCTTTTCTTGTTTCTCTATACTGGTTCAGGTGTGAGCTTGATTGATGTCTAAAACGGTTATTGAGGTGCTTGGTTCTGTTTTGCTTTAATTAGAAAGAGAGAGAGATGAGTTACACGATGGTGACGGATGAGAGTGATGATGCTATGTACTCAAGCATCTATAACGAATCACCATCTGCTGATAATGGCTGCACGAGTAGAGGGAAAGGAAGTGTTTTGAAGAAAGGGCCATGGACCTCAACTGAAGACGGGATTTTGATTAATTATGTTAGGAAGCACGGTGAAGGTAACTGGAATACTGTGCAGAAACACACGAGTCTTGCTCGTTGTGGTAAAAGCTGTCGTCTCAGGTGGGCTAATCATCTGAGGCCGAATTTGAAGAAAGGAGCTTTTAGCAAAGAAGAAGAACAGCTTATTGTTGAAATGCACGCCAAGATGGGAAACAAATGGGCACAGATGGCTGAATATGTAAGTTCATTTCATATATTGATCTTATCTGTGATCCTAATGGCTAAATCTTTTGTTATCAGTTGCCTGGTCGAACAGATAATGAGATAAAGAATTATTGGAACACACGTATCAAGAGGCGGCAACGAGCAGGCTTACCACTTTACCCTCCTGGAATCCATGTTGAAGACATGCACTGGAGTCAAGAGTATCCATCAACGAGTAATAATATCACCGGAGTAGATAGAAGAAGACATCAAGATTATATGCAGTTGGGAAATTCCAAAGCTAATGTCCTGTTTGACGATCTAAACTTTGCTAATGTTCTGTTTGAGGATCTAAATTTTGCTACTAGCTTGTTACCTAGAGCTTCTGACATAACAGATATGTTCGCATGCAACATGCTAGGAACAGGTGAAAGTAGCTCCCGGTACGAAAGCTACATGCCACCAATATTACCTTCCCCGAAGCAACTCGGCGGATCTGGATCTCGGTTTAACATAAGGCAAGAGTTCCAATCTCCGGAACAGTTTCAGAACGCTGCTCCACAAAAGAATCCAAGATCCTGCAATATCTCTGATCATCCTATGTATGGAAACCAGCATCAATCTGATGTGATGATTCCAGATAGCCATACCTTTACGGATGGCATGCTTCCTACTTCTAAGCCCTTGTTTGGGGCAGTGAAGCTGGAGCTCCCTTCATTCCAATATTCAGAAACTAGTAGTGCATTTGATCAGTGGAAGACTACACCGTCACCTCCACAATCAGATCTACTGGACTCTATTGATACTTATATTCAGTCTCCACCACCGTTGGAGATAGATGAGCCAGGTTGTTTCTCATCATGCGACACTGGCCTACTAGATATGCTACTTCATGAGGCCAAGATCAAAGCTAGTGCGAAGCATAGTTTGTTGTTGTCTTCATCTGAGAAGAGTTTCAGTTCAACTGCTTGTATGACCGATGCTACTCAGAATGTACCGCGTGGAGGTGAAACCCATATCACATCAGGTGAGATCAAAGTGTTTCGTTAGTTGGTATCTAAACTAATCCAATATGTTGCTGTGTTTGGTGTATTGTAGCTGAGAGTCCTTGTTTTGTATTTGAAGCTTTTGCAGGGAACGTTGTAAAGACAGAAGAGTTGGATCAGGTATGGGAACCAATGAGAGTTGATGTAATACGACCTGATGTTTTACTTGCATCGAGCTGGCAAGACCAACAAGGCCGTTTTGGGATTGTTAGAGAGTCAAACAGCATGAGTGATGCACTTGCGCTTCTTCTTGGTGGGTGAAGACATCGGAAACAGACTGTTAGGTCATCATCAGGTGAAGCGCTACGTGGCGTTAGGTCTTGCCCATGGACTAACATGCCTCCTGTTTTGGTCCTTGTAACAAAAATGAACCACATCTATTTTCATGCTACTTGCTTCGTTTGAAGACTTTGCGGTTTCTCTTATAGTTGAGACAATAAAACTCTGTTTGATTTCTCTTATAATTGATAAAAAAAATGATACTCAAACAATACATAGGATTAAAGTATATGATAGTGCCTCAATGTATAAAGACATTAGAAGCAAATGAATCATTATAGATAACAAAAAGTTTAATGGTTCTGATCTTGCAAAGTAACAGTGCACCAAGAGGATTAAAACCCAAAATTCTCATGGAGCTCCTACAAGATTTTCATTTTTAGACTCCAGTTTTCTTGCTTCTGATGAGTTCCTTAAGCTCTGCAAACTTCTTCTTGCATTGAATCACCGTTTTACCAGGAACAGCAGCAGCTACTCTCTCCCATCTTTGACTTGTCTCTTTAGGGAATGTCTTCAAAGCTTGAACCAAAGCTCTTTCTTGTACAGCCGACCAACCATCTGTGTCTGAACTTCCACTTGCTTCACCATTGTTGTCTGAGCTTTTACCCACAACAGTCTCTGTAGATGCTGGTTCTGCCTTTGGTAGAGATTCTCCGAGCTCCTCCCTTGTGGAAAGAGGGGAGGCTATTGAAACAGTAGGTTTCCTCTTCTCCAGGAATGAATCAAACGCTTTGGCAGAGTCAGGTTTTTGGAGAAGAACCGTCTTGGTTGCTTTCAGAATCTCCTCTACGGATCTTCCTGTACCTATGTACTCTGATATAACTTCCCATCTCCGTGATGTTCCTTTTGGATATTTAATCACTCCTTTTCTCAACATATCAATCTCTTCCTTGCTCCATGGTTGCTGTTTCTTCTGAGTTAACTGAGATATTCCGTTACTAGGCTCTGTGCCACCGTTTGTTTTCTCACTTTCTTTCTCTTTAGAGTTGGCTTCTTCGTGGTTGTTGCTGCAAACATCTTTAACCACCTTTGCTAACTCAACCCCTTCTTTGTCTCCCATCTTATCACAGAGCTTCTGCAACTGGTTTAAGTTAAGTGACATGCATAGATTCTCTATATCTTCCTCGGAGATGTCAAGCAGGCGCTGAGACACTACAGGAGCTGAGAGAGTTCTAAGCCTGCTCCGTTCTTTGCGTATGAGCTTCTTCTCCTTCTCCTTAGCTTTCTTTTGCTGTTGTGCAGATTCCACAGCTCGCTTCTCCTCTTCTTCTTTCCTCCTTTTCTCTTCTTCAGCAGCAATAGCAGCTTCCTCTTCCTGCTTCTTCTTAGCCATAAGCTTTGCCTCTTTCTTCTGTTGCTTCTCAGCCTTCTCTTCCTCTTTTCTCTTCACAATCCTCGGATCTTTCCTATACGCATTGTCAACAAGAGTCCTGATCCTAGCATGCTCCTCCTTTCTAGCCTTGGCCGTTGCTCTCGCATTCTCCTTCTCCATCCACCTCCTTTCCTCACGCGAATCCGCTTGTTCAAGATCATGCTCCTCTTCATCAGGAAACTCCCTCCAACTCTTGAAACCATACCAAAAGTTATAGAACTTATCAACATCTTTAAGCTTTGTGTTCTCATCTCCCAAATCAGGTATACGCTGATTCACAGACCACCTAGCGTTCCTCTTAAAAGCAGGACCAAACACTTTAAAAAAGTCCTGAGGCGAGCAATCATTTGGCACCTCGTCATCAAACTCATCAGTAGAGTCAAAAATCCTTCTCTTTATTGGATCCATCAACACCTCATAAGCTTCTTGAATCCCTTTAAATCTTGACTCAATCTCCTCCTTTTTAGCCTCTTTACTTTCTTCAGTCTCTTCCGCTAGAAGCAAACTAGCCATCTTATCAGGATGATGCTTCAACGCAGCTTCACGGTAACTTTTCCTAATCTGATCTTCTGTTGCAAGATACCTCAAGTTGCTTAAACCTAATAACGCGTAGTGGTCTTGTTGCTGTGTACCGGACTTCTTCTTTCCTTTGTTGGAATATGAGTTGAATGAAGGAACATACTCCTTCTCTTTATTATTATCATCTCCAGGCTTTTTATCACTACCTTCATCATCAGCTTCCTCTGCACAACCGTGGAGCTTGAGAGCTGCGGAGTGGAAGGCGTGACCAGCTGGTTCACGGTTTAAAGCCTTCACAGGAAGACAATTCGAAGAAGTAATGAACGGTTTTCCATCCACTAGCTCATTTGTGTATGTGATTAGCTTAATGGTAGAGTTAATTCTCCAGCTCGGCATGGTTGAAAAAAATGATCACCCTTCTGTCATAAAGAATTACAGAAACACTGTTAACTTAAGGAAGTTTTATAACCTAACATATGTTAACCTAACAGTAGTAGTAGACAAAGCTAATATTATCTATTAGTAAAAGCAACACACAAACCAAGCCTCAAATCACAATGTCAACAAATTACAATTTCATTTGGTCTAAATTATACAAGATCATATTAATAGTCTTAAATTCAGGACTGTTCTACATCAAATTTACACAAAAGGGAAAAAAAAAAGCAACATATAAGGAATAAACTTGAATGGAAGAACAAGGCCAATTCAGACAAATGGTGCAAGTACAGATCCGGCAGCGAAAGTAATAAAACAAGCTTTTGTAATAATAACATGTTCCGAACACCAAAATTACAGAACTTAATATGGTTACTAAGACAAAAACATCCAGCAACTATAACTCGAAAGTAACAGTGTTTAATCCACTTTTATTACCAGAAACTGAGCTAGCAATCACTCTGATCCGTCTGTCGGAAAAAGCTCCGGTGATTACTTTCCGCACGAGCTTCCTCCAAACTGCGACGGTAGAGAGAGAGATGATGAAGAAGGAGATGACAAGTTCAATCTGGTGTAACAGTAAATAGCGGCGGCAACGATTTGAAGATGGAAGAAATGGTTTCTCAGATTATTACCTGTTTGGTTGTCCGAATTAGTCTCTTTTTTTTTATGTTTGCCATCTCCCCAAATAGTTTGGGCCTAGGCCCATTTAGCCAATTAATTGGGCCTTCCTCCTATAGTGGATAGTTAGATTTGCTACTTTTGTTACTACATAGGAATGTTAAACAATAACTTTGACATCATACAGCAGAAATGTAACGTTGCTTGATACACAAGTAACCATCATCAAAAGCATCCCATTCATCCTCACAAATATCAAAATCACTCCACAAAGATCCAAAAAGTTGGATTAAAAAACATCAAAACAAATGTAAAATCTTTTATTCACCGCCAAGCTTCAAACAGCTCAACTCTGTAATTCACACGTCCCACAATACTACTCGCATTAGACATTGTCCTCTTCATCTTCTTCTCCTCCTCCCAACCATTATGTTTCTCTCCAAAACCTCCACTACAGCTTTTAATCAGAGACGACTTTAAACCAATGAGTTCCAGAGGCTCTTCTTTGTCTTTCATTTCAGCTTCAAAGGTATCATCTACAGCTTCCTCCTCGTTAGCTTTCATGAGATGCAACAACTGTCTACTACTCTGATCACCATCACGGTCCCTAGGACCCGGGTTCGAGCCTTGCACCAACCTCTCTCGAGATTCTTTACGTTCTTTAAGCGTTTTCACAATCAGTGTCTTGAGAAAATTCATGACTTTCACAGCATACATCAGAGCGGTCAAAGGATCCAACATCTGAGTCATGTTAGGTGCGAAAACCATAGCGATGTTTCGAGCATTCATCTTGTTAACATGTTCCATCTCCACAACATCTGCCATCAGATTGATTGACCAATCTAACAAAGAAGCTTCTGTTGAAGGCAAAAGCTTCACAAGCTCCACACACTCTTCTTCAGTTTCAGACTCCATGACTTGCTCTGGTGAGAGTGAATCCAACACACCAGTTGGAAGTTCCCTAAACCAAGCCTAAGTGAAAAAAAAATTCAAAAAGTTAAAATAGACAGACAATAAGAGAGTAAGATCCAAGTAAGGGTTATGTATACCTTAATGAGACTTGCCAAGCAATGAACATCAATGTTATCAGGTATAACACCTTTATTCAACTCTTCTCTTATGTACTCCTCTTGACCATTCTCACCATTAATCCTGAAGATTCCTTCTACCTATATGCCAACAAAGTGTTATTATACTTAGAGATGCAAATAGTTTTAAACAATACACATTACACACTCACCCTTAATCCGCCTCTACTGTACAAGTGACTCTGCATCATCAAGAGTATTGTAGGCACAATGTTCCCTCTAGTATCATAAGATAGCTGCATTGACTCAGTAGAAACACCAAACACTGTTGCACTGCATTTACATTTTACATTAGACATTGGCTTATGTCCCCCAAAAAAAATTCAAAAAAATTTACAAATGAATATAGGTTCCAGATTTATTTTTAAAAAATTATATAATTCATTACTAAATTGTATATAGCCTCAAAAAATTTAAAGACCGGCCTCCACAAATGTTCTTTAAATCTATGTACCAACACTCAATATCCTTTAACAAGCCATCTACTTAATAACTATACACCTCTCAACCACTAAACATGAATCATTTTTGTAAAAACAAAACAAAACCTTGCACTAGGAGCACGTCTAGGGACTTCAGGTTCAAACTCAACAGGCAAGCCAAGAAAGCCATGGAAACGATCAAAGGTAACATGAGCCACGTGTCTAACATCTGAGGGAACACCAATCTCCATTGAACAAAGATCTTCTTCACCAACACACCCACCAATCACAGACCTTCTGATTGCAGAGACAAGAATCTCCAATGCTGACGAAAACTCGAATCTTTCTTCTTCTTTCTCGCTTCTCTCTTCTTCTTCCTCTTCTTGAGAAATGTTAAAAGGAGAATGTGGGTCTCTGTTGATATCATTGCCTCCGCATGATGTAGAAGATGAGCTTGTGGGTGAAGGGAGATGACATGATTGGGTTGAGTTTAGTACTTTCGCCATTAGTGAAGGATAATCCTATAAAAATCAAATCTTGGAGTGATGGGTACTCTCTCTAAGGGGAAGAACAGTGATGGATGGATGTCAAAATCAAAGGATGTAAAGAAACAATCTTTAAATGGGGATTTTTCAGACAAAACCTAAAAAGGAGATTAGTAATGGGTAATTAATGATGCTGTTGGGAAATAATGTGGAAGCTAAAAAAAAAAAGATTAAAACTTTTGGGTATTTAGGCGACGCGTAGAGTTGAATTGAAGAAATGGTTATTTTTTTTAGTTGGTGGGTTGTAATTATCACTTCAATCTTTCTTTCTTTGCTCAAAGAGGAGAGAGAGAGAGTAATTGGTGAAGTTAGGTGAGAGAAGGTGAATAAGGGGTAACTGGGAAGATGAAGGTGGAGCTGTCTTTTTAAGTCTCTATTTATTATTACTATTGTGCTGTGACCTTTATCAAGCAGAGGTACTAACTTTTGTTTCCATGTGAAATATCAAATTTACTACCAGCTATTTGAATCATTGGGTCCTGGGAATGTGAAGTAATAAAAAAAAAACTGTTGGGAACAACAAAAGGGTTATCTACACTGCGACCAGTCCCATCTACCACTCATTTGGTAATCTATGCTTACATTTAGTGTTCCTGTTGTACTGTATTTGTATGCAATAGGAATGTTTCCTCCGTTTTAGTTTATATGCCATTGTAGAGAAAATTATTTTAAAATAAGTATCATTTTATATTTTTAATATTAAATTATTAAATTTTTATTTTTATTGGTTGAAATATGGTGAACTGTATAGATAATAGTGTTTTTATTTCAAAATATGTAAAATTAAATATATTTTTTAATCTGTGCAAAAACGTGCAAAAACGTAAAACGAGAAACTAAAATGACACTTAGAGAGTTTCAGATTTCGAAGAAGTGAAATAGCATGGTGAAGTTACTTGGTAATCTATGTTTTATAAAAAAAAAACTCTTGGTTACCGTTATAAGGAAGGCCATCTCTAGGACTTTTACTTCTTGCTCATAAGTCATAACTAAAGAGAAAAGCATAAAAGAAAAGAAAAAGGAAAAGAATAGTGAAGCTGGTGAAAGTTCTTTTTGGATTAGTTGTAGATCCAAACTGTGTTTAAAATGATGTTTTTTTATATGATGAGTTGGAGATCCCCCAACCAAGGATATACATCAGTTTCTCTTTTGGATTAACTGCTATAAAAAATACATATCAAAATTGTAATTAAGTGACTTCCACAAAACGTTTATAATTTCTAAACAATACACAATACAACCTACTTTCTACCAATAAAGCACATCGACGCAGAGACATATTAGGGACAAAGGTTCTACATCGGTAGTTGTAAGGGATTTTAAGCAATATATAAGATAGATGGGCCACTCCACTTATCACCAATTGGTTTTAAGTTAGAAGCCCATCTAGCTTAACATAGTATCAGAACCCACGATCCACGCAATCCAACCCGATCCATTATCGATCCGTGCCCAAAGATGGCCCATCGATCATCGATCTGGCCCAAAGTCGGCCCATCGATCCTTGTCCAAACATTCCGAGATTGACGCTCAAAGAACCATCATCTCGAGGAGGCGTATTAGGAACAAAGGTCCCACATCGGTAGTTAGAAGAGATCTTAAGCAATATATAAAATAGATGGGCCACTCCACTTATCACCAATTGGTTTTAAGTTGGAAGCCTATATAGCTTAACACCTCTTTTGTAGTAAAACTGTAGAAGATGTGTATAACTAAAGGAAGCTTCAAAATACCTCCCACGTGCCGAACATTCCGTTGTATGTTTACGTGTTGTTGTATCATTTCATTCTCATTTGCCTTACAAGTTACAACAAGGCTTCGTGGGGGCAAGCACATGCCTTCCTTCCACTTTCACGGTGTGTTATTGGACATGTATCATTTGCCTTACAACAAGCCTTCGTGTTGCACATGCCTTCCTTCCACTTTCACGGCTCCTTATTTCTTTTCTTTTTTCAGTTCTTATTCATAAAAAACCACTTTTGATAAACAGAGGGGCCAAAGGGCATAATCATTATCACACTACATAAGATGTGGGGAATTAGAAAAGATTTAAGATAGTAATAAAGCAAAATGCAATGACCGTTGGAGCTCATTTACCCAAAAAAACATATCGTCATATCCCCAAGGCTTTTGCTTTATGTGAGGCTTGGCCCAATAAAAATAGTCGTTTTTCAACAACAGCTTTAGTTCTTTGTAGAAAAGTTGTAGCAATGCTTACAAAATGTTTACTTGTCTAACCTAAAGAGAGCACAGTTCACAACACAAGGGAGAATTATTCACACACAATAAAACAGTTATCAGATTGGCTCACAACAGTTTCATAAAAATACTCAGAACAAGGAAGTATCAAACTTCTTTAAGATCATCAATTCCTGCTGATAGATAGTCTACTAATTAAGTTCCAATACACAGAGTAAACTCAAGTCAAAATACAGACACACCGGTAGTGCAAAAGTAATTAAAAAAAAAAGCTAAGATCTTCCAACTGGTTCGAGAGCTTCAACTGTGACAATGCTGTTTCCTCTTATCACCTGCATCCACCAAAAAAAAAAGGAAATACAATTACACAAATGACTAAGAGATTTATGAGGGTTTTTTGGAGAAGAGAAAGAGAAACGTACCACCATGCCAATCTCAGTCTTGTCATCACCATTAACTTCAACAGTGTTATCCACAACAAGATTCATGAACTGGTCAAACCCACGGAGAGTTCCAACTACCATTCTGTTGGCATTAAGCTTAACTACATTGCGAGACCAAAAAAAAAACAAAGTTAAGCTAAAACTCTAAATAACAGCAGGAGAAGAAACACGACCACTACCAAACAAATAGTCAACTGCAATGAGATTATCCTACGAAATGATACATTATCACCAGCTTATTTTTTTTTTTATCTTACATGTTTATATATAACAATCACAAGACATACAATAAAAATGAAACGCTGTAAAAGAGTGGAAGAGGAAATCGAACTTACTTTGGAGTTTCTTGTCCATGTACCTGCATCATCACATCAAAACCACGAAGATTAAAATCAGAAACACGAAGAAGTTGTTGAAAGCTGGACTTAAAGAGAACAATTGCAAAACCAAAAGTGGTGAAGAGAACTTACTTCTTGAGATCCGGAGGCTGGCCTGATCGACTCATAGTTGCAGAATCGGAGGAGATGGAGACGGAGAGAGGTTAGGGTTTTTCTCTAAGAGCTCGGAAGAGTCTCACTCAATTTTGATTCCAGAGAGAGGTTAGATGAAAAGATCCGATGGCGGTATCTAGAGTGTCGTTTTAAAGCCCATTGTTATTGGTTCCAGGCCCAATAGTCTTTCATCTGATTAAAAATTACAAAATAGGGGTGTTCCGAGAATCGAACTCGGGACCTCGCGCACCCGAAGCGCGAATCATACCACTAGACCAAACACCCTTATTGATAAAATGTTGCGACAAATGCTTAATTATAATTTCATTATCTGTAACTTTAGTTTTCAAATAGGTATGCTATAAACAATTTCTTATGAACGTTCGTCTTGTGTTTCAAAAAAAAAAAAAAAAAAAAAAAGAACGTTCGTCTTCACAAAACAGGGAAGTGAAGAAAAAAGATTTACATTTCATGTTGATAGAAAAGAAAAATGACTAGTTTAAATTATCAAACTTGCTTGCATTCAATGATGCTGTTGAAGCGAGAGATGAGAAAATGTAAAATAAGCGAGATAATAGCAACATAATAATAATGTCATTTTTTCCACATACCAAAACTTAAAATGCAAAAGTTTACATTGGCAGAAGAAAGACGCAGAAGCTAGAAAAGTTTTCGAAGCAAACTTGAAAGATAAAATCAGATCGAGAAACAAAACTAACTTCAAAGTGTTGTACTCAAGAAACTACTCGAATCAAGGGCACAACAACAACTGAACCCGATCATGAGGGACATTGAGCAATCAGAGTCTTCTTCCTCTTCGTCCACCCTTTCTACGTGTACTGTCTGTGGGAACTGGAGTCACATCCTCTGCAAAATACATTCAAGAAAAATTCCTCTAAGCCAAAACGAACAATTGTGTGAGATAATAAAAAGGACTAAAGAGAGAGAGAGAGAGATTTACCAATACGACCAATCTTCATGCCAGAACGAGCAAGAGCTCTGAGAGCAGACTGAGCACCAGGTCCTGGAGTCTTGGTTTTGTTTCCTCCAGTTGCACGGAGCTTCACGTGCATTGCTGTGATGCCTAGCTCCTGTCACATATGGCATTACAGATTATCTACTACTAGAATTTAAGAAGATGAAAATATAATCAAGAATCTCAAAGCTGAGCAGTTTGCTGACCTTGCATCTTTGAGCAACGTCTTGAGCAGCAAGCATAGCAGCATAAGGAGATGACTCATCACGATCAGCCTTCACCTTCATCCCACCTGCGCAAAAAAAAAAAAATATTCGAGAATTTAACTCGCATAATCATCATATACTAATGTACCAAATGCAAAGGACTTTTAAACAAATTGAGTGATGATTTAGTTGTTATTACACTATAGAATTATTCAAAAAACATAAAACAAGACAACAACTAAGAGTACATACCGGTGATACGGACAAGAGTTTCTCTTCCAGACAGATCAGTTACATGCTGCAAATAAAATTAACATCAACCTCATGACTCATCATGCGTATAAATAAACCATACACTTTAGGTTAGGTGAATGGCTTACAATGAAAGTGTCATTGAAAGAAGCAAAGATGTGAACAACACCAAACACTTGCTCTCCATCACGAACAGCAGGTCCTAGAGTAACGGTTTCCTCCTTGGGCTCTCTGGTCTTTCTCCTCGACTATATATCAAACAACAACAAAAATTGTTCACTACATAAACCATCACTTATACTCTACAAAAAACGTAAACACTACACTATGGAACATACACCATACGACCAGAAAAATCTAGGTGAGAGACAAACCTATGTGAAATCTAAGAAATGAAGAGTTCGAGGTTCCCTACAGACTTAACGAAACCAATCTAATCCGAAACAGATATGTTCTGGTGACAAGGAGCTTACCATGTTCACGAAATGCTAGGGTTTTTGGATGCTGCTCGTCTCTGGAAGCTGGCTGTGGAGAGGAAAGGACACACTCGGCGCTACAAATTTCCTTTTATATATATTAGGGTTACATTGGCACACCCTATGGTAATTGACGTAATTACCCTCAGTACTTTGATTCTCATATACGTCGTCGTTTAAGTTATCACAATAGTTCGCAATACTTAGATACGTTGTCGTTTAGGGTATTTAACTTTCTCAAATCCTTTTTTTTCTTTTTTGATATCAACACTTTCTCAAACTTCACAATTTATATGAAGAAACCAACCAACGTTTACAACGAACAACGTTAATGTAAATGACAATCTAGTGAGAAGAAATATTTTGTTTTCTACATATAATAATATCATCAAGAACTCCAAATTCAAATATCATATAGAAAGACCCAAAACGATTCATAGTACAAGAATGAATTCACTAATACTGCCATCATCAATTCTCAACAAGAGAGAAAGCATTTTTACACATCAAACAGATCAGAGAGAGAGAGATCTACTAAACAAATTGCATAGTTTTTTTTTTTTTTTTGCTGACTTCTTTCAAGACATCTCCAAGGAGCAGGAGGAGGCAGAAGACTTCTTGGCTGAAGCAACAGCACATCTTTCAGCTTTCGAATACTTCTTGAACACAGCTCGCAACTTGCTCTCCCCAACTCTCGAGTGAATGTAAACTAAAAGCTTCGAGCACTCCCTGAAAGATAACACACAAACAAATCAATGATATATATTCATTAATCTTGATATAGAGAGAAAAATTAGTAAACAAGATCACTAACCTGAGCTCATGTTCAGAGTATCCCGTGTGAAATTCCAGAGTCTCAGTCCAAACCGGGGTCTTGCTCAAGAAACACCTCGCAGTGTACACTGCTGAAGCAGCCAGCAAAGAAGGACAGAACTTCAAAGTATCGTAATGCATCAGACCCAACTCGGCTAAGAAGTGAACCATGTTCTCCATCTCCGGGTCAGGAACAGCAGCTTTGATGAACCTAGCAAGGAACACGTACTGTGTCGGAACTGTCAAGTACCATTCCAAGTTTCCCAATATGGTCTTCTCCATCACTAGAATCTGCTTGCTTTGGTACGAGTTGTCTGTGACATATACCAAATCATTGACCTGTTCACATTCACATGGTCAGCTCTAATAGACAGTATTCTTGTAAACATTAGGGATATGTTACATACCTGAGGAGGCCAAATCTCTTCGTATTTGGAGGCTATGAGCAAAGCACTAACACCTAGAAGCTGTAGCTCTCTTCTCGGGATAACTTTCATTGACAGGAAACGGTCGATTATGTTGATGGTTAGGTAAAGAGTCTCAGGGGAGAGATCAAACTTGGCGTGTACGTCTACAAGCCAGTCTACAAGAATTGATCTCATCTTCTCGTTAATCTCAGGCTGTGTTTGCATATACATCTGAGGCTTACTCTCATTCTGTAAACAGAAAATCAAATAAACATTTCACAAAAGTACATTTCTAAAAAATGGTTTGTTGACAATACATACCTCAACTTCTTTGTAGAAAGAGTACATGTCCTCAACGTACTCAACAGCAGCAAGGTCGTTGTCTTTGTCTACAGAGTCAATATCAAGAGTCTTGGAAGCAGCCTATAACGATTCAACCAATAAACAATTAAGTACACTATCATATTAACAATGTTAAAATCACAAAAATTAATAAATGAAACTTACCTTGCTTCTAGCATTGAGAACCGAAGTGTATGTGACTTTCTTCTTGGAGGCATCGTGTTTCTTATCGTCTCTAGCTTTTGAAACCTCGTTAGTATCAGGACTGATCACAATCACTTCAACTGGTTTTGTCGGCTTAACAACAACACCTCGTGCTTTCTTTTGAACCTCCCTTACAGGTTTCTTGGTTACAACCTCAGCCTTGTCTACATTAATCTGCTGTTCAGTTACATAGAGTCAGATTCAAGAATCATATGTACTCACAAAACAAGATTTTTTGCACACACAAAAAAAAAAAAAATAATAATAATAATAATAAAATGGAACCTTTTTGTTAGCGTTTTCGAGTAATTGTGCACGGAAGTTACGGGTCAAGGGGCGATTAATCTTTCCTGGTTCGATTCCGGGAAGAGAAGCGATGTTTCCGATGTCGCCAAGAGCGCGACGGTTCTTCGCTTCCGCCACGTCATCACCTGTTTTATATTCAAATAAAAAATTACCGATTTGAGTCAATCAGAAACAGCCATGAGATCTTGAAATCGTCAAATTAGATTTGATGAGTTGGAACAAACCTCGAACTTGTTGGGGAATAACACGTCTCGTTGCCATGATCTTTGTGTTCTTTTTTTTTTTCAAGTTATGTTTTCTCGTAAACCCTAGTTTCGTTCTTTCTTTCTTTTTGTTTGTTTGATTGTTTCGGTGTAGAGGAAAGAGGAGAAGGAGATTGAGAATGATTTTTATGGGAGAGAGGAGACGCTCTAAAGCGAAATTCTCCAACGGTCAAATTTTTGATGGGTTTGGATTTTTAGCCGTTAGATGAGGGAACTTTAATTCTGACGGTGGATGAGATCAAGTGTTAGAGATTCTTAGAAATGTGTTTAATTACGAGGTTCAAGTCTTAATTGGTATTAAATTATTTTTATTCTAATGACAATCTAATTCTATAACTGGATTTATTCGTATACTTTATTTTCATTGTTTTTGGTAGCATTCCTCTCAGTAGATGTGGTTAATTGGTAAAGTCTTATCCGGTCTCCTCCCTCTTTAAAAATTACTGTGGAGTATATAAAAGTGAGAAAAATTTCAAGCTCTTTTTTTTCACATTTAATAATGACAATGTCAGAATTTTTTGTTTTCCATTAATTACGAGGTTGTATGTCCTTAATTAAATGAAAATTTTATTCTATAGTTTTGTTTTCTTTTTTTTTTATAAAGAATTTTATTCTATTGTTGGGTTTTACAGTTTCCCTCAGCATTTTATTTTTCTTGTTTCTTAGTGTCAATAAAAAATCACTATATAGCATAGTAGTGAGTTTGCATTTTATAATGACCATGTCAGATTTTTTAATTTGCCTTAGTTACAAGGTTGTATGTCTTAATTGGTATTAAGCGAAAATTTTATTCTATAGTTTTCTTTACTTTTTTTTTGATAGAGAATTTTATTCTATAGCTGGGTTTTAGAGTTTTCTTCAGCAATAAACAAACCCTTATTTTGTAACTGAATGCTGCAAATTTTTGCTAATCAGCATAATCTCTAATGTTTTGCTTCGTATAGTTCTATTATATAATTTTACAGTGGACAGTTTGAACCTAATTAGCCAATTTGGTAGCATAGAGCGGCCGAGGCCAAATACGTCATACATGTTCAATTTCTGTTATGGCCCAATTCTAAATCTCAAAAAATTACTGGACCAGTAAATTAGTTTTTCTGTGTGCGGATATTTATTTACCAGTTACCATTCTGGATGATGCTTTTTAAGTAAATTCGTTTACCTCATTTTATATCAATGGTTAAATGTCATTTTTATCGTCAAACGTTTATCATCATCATCATTATATCAAATGTCTGTATCATTCGATTAAATTGTTGTAATTGTTGAGACAAACACATTCGTCGTTTATCCAATGATCCAATCAACATGGTTACTATTTTGTATCGACTAAATTTACAGTGATTTCTACAAAATCACATTAACCGGACTGATGCTTTTTCTCATCCTCCGGAAAATACCCTAAAGACTCTTTTTAACAATTACCATCATCATCAGCCATTTGACAAAAAAAACAAAAACACAACAGGATTAAAAAACAAAAACTGATGGTAAAAAAAGATTGGTTTTATCTTGGAGGAATAGCAATGTCAGAAAAAAAATTGCCAAATTGAGTTTTTGAGCTCATAATGAAACCATTCGCACATCTAATTGAATCATCATTCACAAACCATTCCTCTAGATTCCAAGAGAATAAAAAAATGAATGAACTGAATAGAGAAGATGACGGCGAGGTCAGATTAATAATTGCCAAATTAAGTTTTTAAGCTCAATATGGAGAAACTCCATTCGCACATCTAATTGAATCATCATCCTCGCCGTATTGACAATCAGAAAGCAAAAAAAAAAGAATCAAAAAAATTACAACAAAACTACAGATATGAAAACTAGAAGACGGCTAGACCCTTTGCGAGGTAATAGAACAGTTCCGCGTGGTCATATATATATGTAGGGAGCGAGTCCTACTGTACTTATTCTTCTACCCTTATCGAGCTTAATGTTAGGCCCATGGGCCGTTTTTTAGATCCGAGTCAAAAGTGTTCTCATTGGCAAAAGTAAACAAGCCTTTTCTGACATTGGTTACAAAGCATTGTAATTGGACATGCGACTTTGGGTAACTGAACCGGTTTGTCCCGAGACATGATTACTCGCCGGTGCCTGTAAAGTGATGAAGGTGAGAGTGATGGTATGTGTCTGATTAAATGCTAGTTCTTAATTTCCAAGATCGCGTTCGGGGCCGTTGGTGCTCGGTCGTGTACAATGACATTGGAGAACAATACCAGGACCAAGTTGATTAGTAATTTCTATAATACTAGATTGGCAAGCTGTACCAAATCTGTAATACATAGCAAAAACCACCACAAAACATATAAAGTGATTCATTTTTTAGATCATAGATAATCTGATCGTCGTATCTATGTATAATATTTATAATTTTGTCTTTGTGACAACTTATATAATTTAGTTAATGTCTATTTATGCTGTTAGCTAAATTTAAAATTAGACATGAACTATTAATTACCATTGCTTGAAGATTTTTTTGTGGCGAGATATATTAGTAACCAATAATAAATTATAACAAATTTTGGTGGCTATAACCTTTGTAGATGGGCTATGTCAAATCAAACCAAATTTCGCACAGTCGTTTAATAACCTTTGTTGTTGTCAACATAGTCTAGGTTTGGTATTAGATCAAGAGTGTCTCAACGATTCCTTAAAAATAATATATATAGAGTCAATAGAATGCTAATATTACGGGGGAAATGGATGCTGCTCCCAGCATGATCGAGCCTCGAGGTAACTTGGTATGAGACTACTGGTATTAGATCAAGGGTGTCTCAACGATTCCTTAAAAATAATATATAGAGTCAATAGAATGCTAATATTACGGGGGAAATGGATGCTGCTCCCAGCAGAAAAATAATATATATAGAGTCAATAGGTTTGATTTTTTCACCCAAAAAAAAAAAAAAAAAAAACTTAGGTTTGATTTTCCTTTCTCCTGTTATTTACGAGGTAACTTGGTATGAGACTACTGCATGGGAATTATAGTCATCCATGTGTTAATAGCAAAAGATTTGGGATCATCAAGACTCAACGTTACTGATGAAGAAGACATACCTTCTCTCAAGGCCCATGGTTCTTCTCCTGTACCTTCTACATTACAAACACAATCCTAATAAGACAGGATAAACCAGAGATACCAACTAATCAAGCTATAATGCCTTTTGAAGATTCAAGACCCATATGGGTGAAGATGTGAAAGAGAGTCCATAAGATCTTCTTCCCTTTTTTTTTATTTCCAAGACTATAGGAACCAGACTTTCATATTAATGCTTGAATAGTAAAAAGGACAGTATCACACTTTTTTTCTTGTATCCTATCCAATCTTTAGTTTAGCCTTTTAAAATTATTCTTGGGAAAGTCTAGGTGGAAGTGGATTTGGAGTTATTGGTCTCATTTCAGAGATCAAGTTGTTGTATTAGGGTTTAAGGCTTTTTGGTTGCTTTGTTTTCATGTGTTGGTTAATGAATCATATTATATGATACTATAAACATAGTTTTACAACAAAGCTTTCAGTGCTAATGTGTCATCAATCATGTTTGGCCAGGTCGCAAAGACCATTAGTTTTTCATTATTGTTTTTTCATTTTTTTTTTATTTATGATGTAATATATCCCAAAACAATTCCATAAATTGTGTTGAAAATATCCATTAAATTTTTTTAAAAATTGCTTACTTGTTGCCATATTCTCTCATTGTTGGAGAAAGGTGATAAGAGAGGACCATTAAAGTCTACAGAGTTTTGACTTGTATTATTATTTGCTTATGTTTTGCCAACTCCATATCTCTCTAATTAATTAGTGTGGATAGAGTAAAAAGCAAGCAACCACTATTCAGTTCCCACTTCATCTGCTCCACTGATTCCCACCAAAACCCTTAAAAGTCCTATAAAAAACCCTAATCTCTTTACTTTTCTTCATCACCAAACCATCAAACTGTCTACTGATTCTCCTCTTCAAAGCACCACAAAACATTTTAACTACTCTCAAGAAAGATGAAAAACGAATCTACCATCATTGACGTCCCTGCAGAATCCAGGTCAGCCATGAAAGGATCAGCACCACTAATCGGTGAGGCCAGAGACCACACAACTAGTGGCTCAAGTGGATACAAGAGAGGTCTCTCAATCTTTGACTTCCTCCTCCGTTTAGCTGCCATTATTGCAGCATCAGTAGCCGCTGGAACGATGTTTACAAGCGACGAGACTCTTCCCTTCTTTACACAGTTCTTACAATTCCAAGCTGGCTACGACGATCTACCAACTTTCCAGTAACCAGTTTATTGAATTCTCACTAAAATGTATTGCTTCCTTGTCCCGCAAGTCACCTCAAAATGTCATATGTTATTTTTCAGGTTCTTTGTGATTGCCATGTCCATGATTTCAGGATACCTCGTCCTATCTCTTCCTTTCTCCGTCGTCACCATTGTTCGCCCTCTTGCCACAGCCCCAAGACTCCTCTTGCTTGTTTTAGACACTGTACATAAACTCAACCTTCTTGAATATTATTGTTATAATAACCAATGATTATAGATCTTAATGACATACTAATATATAGCTTAATGTTTTATGATGAAATTAAGGCGGTTATGGCGTTTAACATGGCGGCTGCATCATCTGCGGCTGCGATTGCGTATCTAGCACACAATGGAAACCAGAACACGAACTGGCTCCCTATTTGCCAACAGTTTGAAGACTTTTGTCAGAAAACCAGTGGAGCTGTGGTCTCATCCTTTGTCTCCGTAGTCTTTTTCGTCATCCTCGTTGTTCTCTCCGGCGTTGCTCTCAAAAGGCATTAATCAAAAACATGTTATTGTAAAACTTATTATTGTCCTTGTGTATGTTGTATTGATCTGTTTTTTTGTAAAAGGGAAATGAAAGTGTTATATATTGTAGTTGTGAAAAGAAAAATCGAAATGTTTTTCTTCATCTTCTTTAATCAAGAAATTGTTTAGTTTGCCTCTTGTCGTCGCTTATTATAAAAACTATAGAGTATACCTAATTGGTATTATCTAACAAATATAAAAGTTACATGAAAAGTAAATTATATACTGTTTAAAAATACTATATATATTGCTTTTAAAAATATTACTCTCTCCTTTTCATATTAAGTGTCTGTTTTAGAGAAAAAAAATTATTACAAAATAAGTGTTGTTCTCAACTTTCAATATAAAATTTATTAATTTTATATTATAGTTTATTTTTTTATTAGTTGAAATATAGTTAGATGTATAGATAATATTATGTTTTATATAGAAAATATGTAAAATTAATTATTTTTAATCAGTGGGCATGAAGATAATAACATTTAATATGAAACAAAGATAGGACTAAACAATCCTTTATATTATAAACCAGAAGTCAATTGAGAATTTTAAGAGTGACATGTGTCATTTGAATTTTGTTTTTGTTTTTTAAATTGTTTTTTTTACAAACGAGAATTTGAGATCTAAAATCGGTTACTTTTACAACTCTTACTTGCCACTATCTTTTTATAACTACTTCTATTCCCACTACCTTGTGGATTATTTGCAAGTGCAACTATATAAATAACCATGTCATTTTCTCTTGGAAACTAAAAACAACGATCACAAACCAGTAGCAAAAATGTTCATAAAATTTTTTTGGATTTGTTTTATAGATCACTAACCAAATTTATAAAGATATTAAAGTTTATTGGGAAGAAGAAATTTATACGTTTTGGTAAGTATTGTTTCCTGTTTATTACTCTCTTCTTTTGAATTGTGGTTATAGATTTTTATATTTATATAATAATTACTCACTTCCAAATTTGGAAACAATATAGATGAATATAACGATGACTACCAGAAACACTATAAACAACTTTCCAACATTGTGTTTGAACCAGTTTTTTTTTAATGGTTATTCTGTGTCTTTGATTCTAATCCATCCCAAAGAACCTTTTTTTAGTATTTTGAATAATGTATATTAAATTATTTCATTTTAATTTTTGAGTGAAAAGAGTCAATGGTTTAGTAAACGAAAGAAATCAAAAGACATTAATTTATTTTTCTATAGACATTCATCTTTTTTTGAAAGGGCTTTTTTTCTCAATAACAAAAAAAAGAACTTCTATATGACATTTATCTTACTGTGGATGATGAGTCTAATTAGTTCAATAACATGTACAGATAAAAGGTAAAAAAAAAATCAAGTATGTGTATTTGTTACATTTCATATAGAAAATAATAAAAAGAAGCAGGTAATGTATGATTAAAATTGGTCTATCACCGAGCTTATGAAATTAATCTTTTTTGTTTGTTTTTGAGAACAAATTTAATGTCATAGAAGTAAAAAAAGTGCACATTTTATGTTTTTATGAGAATTATTTTATGGATTTGTTATATCTTAATAGAAAGTTGGATTTATTTTTGATGGTCTATGAACTAAGAAAAAAGTATCCAAATTTCACATTTTTTTATTTTCATTCATAACTACATTTATTTATCCAGAATCAATGCTATTCTAATCAAAATTTGATTTAGAGTAGTACAAAAAAATTCGAAGTTAAAACGAAATTCTAATAAACATGACTATTCCCATGCATAGCATGGGCCACAATCCTAGTTTATATTATAAAACAGAGGAAGAATTTTATTTTGTTTGGTAATTCATTGCCAAGAGCTGCGCATAGAGAATCTCATTCCATGTGTCAGGTACACCAGGCAAGCACCAATGACTGCAATCTTGAGGAGCATCTTCAGGAACATCCGGACCACGATACTTTGAAGGATGACCATCTTTCCTGAACTCAGTCAGATATGTAATGTTCATGAACTTAACCTTACTATGTTCACTTCTCATTTCTTGTATTACTTTAGAGATATAATTGTTATGTACAGGGTCAGGTTCCATCTTTTCCATATCAATCTCTGGCTCTGTCTCTGCATCACAGAAACCACCCAAGTTCCATGCCCCTTTCCTGCAACACCCGAAAATCTTAATTAGATTTAGATTACAGAGACACTTGTCTGATTCTCCCTCTGAAGACATCATTATTGGGGTGTTTCAACTAGAACTTCTTACTAAAAATAATAATATTTTATGGTCGTCTAAATAAAAAACTTTGCGAGACTATTCTATTAAATTATAATTTTTTTGTCAATGATTTTAGTTGAAAGATTATTGATGCAGATGGCTTTGTGAAACATACCTAAAATGCACAGAAGAAAGACTTCTGAAGAAGATATAACTACTCTCTGGATCTAGTCTCTCTATAACCCATGACTTCCATGTCTTTAGAGACTTCTCAAACCCCTCCATTACACTCATTGTCTTGTTTAACTTACCTTACTCCTCCATTACACTCATCGTATCAACCGAAAATAACCTAAACCAATGCCTTGAAGCCCAAGCAACAAGAAAAAAAAAACATAAAGTGTGACAACATACCGTGGAAGATCGCAGCCGTGTGGTTGCCATCTCCATTGTCGGAAACCAGAATCGTTTCTTCCACTATTCAGACAACGAAAGCCAGAATCTAGAAACCGACATTCTGCACCATAATATGTTTCTTGGTCGTCACGTTTTCGTCTACGAACCCATTTACCGTATGAATAGTCACATACGTCGTTGTTTCTTGGCTCCTTAGTTAGGGGTTTCGATAAGAATCCGAAAGAGAGACGAGGCTTGATCAACGACGATAACGGAGAAGATTAGGAAACTAATGAGAAGAAAGATTCCGACCAATGTATGATTCTTGATCTTGATGGTTGAGAAGAGTTGCTTTAGAGAATTCGATTTTTGATGATCATCCATGTCGGCATAAAAATAAGATTTGATATCTCTTCTTTGATGTGCAAAATGTGTATATGCGATCTTCGTACCAAAGTATTAGTAATAAATATATATGTTCCGGTAACGCAAAAATACGTAATTAATAATTAATAATAGATCCACTCTTAGTTCATCCATGTGACAAACACAAATTTCAATAGATGCATATTACAAAATCAATCAACCTATAACTTAAAAAACGTTTCCTGATCACATGCTCGCTTTTACATGTGTTAGATCTAGATGACTTTCAGTTCCCAGTATTAACGATTAACTACTTATATTTATTCATTAGGTTTCTTCTGATAATCAACGCAGGTAGCTTTACAGTTTATGTCCTACGAAAGTATTGTTTTTTACTAAGAAAGCATTGCTACATGATGTCAAAAAGCATTGTTACATAATGAAAGTGTGAAGTATCCCATACATGATACATGATAGTATCATACTAAGTAGCGCATGCTGCTTTTTTTCTTTAAAAGCTAAAAAGATAAAGTCAATAGCAAATCATTCTTTTTAGAGTATTACTATAAATAAAGAAACAAACTGAGGTTGAAGAATCAACCGATTTAATACCATACTAAAAAGAGAATCGTTCATACAAGGCAAGTCTATGAAGACTTGGCTTTACAACATGTGCAGTGGATTTGAGCCTTTGACTAAAGGGTATATAATTGTATATTTTTTCTTTTTTTGATTTACTATCTTCCTTCACGTATAAATGTCTTTCTGGTTGGTCATAGTGTACAAACATAATAAAAATATATAATACTATCAAGTAGTTATATATATAATCATTCAAAAAATATAATCTTTCAAATTGTTAAGCCAATTACTACACTTGTTAATTTCCCAAAACTCTAGTATTTGGATCCAGAGCGAAACCTCAGATGGCTTTGAGTTTTAAAGCCCAGCCCAGAGAAAGAGAAGGAACACACTTTTTTGTTATAGTGTGGATGAGAACTCTTGAAGAGCTTAGAGCACTATAGGAACCAAAGAGAGGAGACGTACGAGCATATCCGAACTATAAACGCGAACCAGAAAAGATAGAATATAAAAGTCCTGACCGTTTCGTTTGCGTTTACATTTGCAATTGTGTTACCATATTGTATCATATATATACTTTTTTTTTTGTAACTTTGTTGTATCAGATATTCCTTCCACACATTCCTTGCAATTCAAAAAAATAAACAATAGAGAATCAAAAGTAATGTAATAGAATAAAATGGTCCTTAGGTTTTGCGTTGGACCAGATAGAGAAGGCTATGTAAGTGGTAGCACAGCATACATTTTTACACACATGCTATGCCCTCTTCTTTAATCATTTGTTAGGGCCACACTCTTTTCTCTTCTTGTAATCTCACCCCATGAATCTCAACACTTCCCAAATCATCTCTCATCATCATGGATCCATTATACATGCACATATACATGATAAAAGCCCTCAAATGACTTTTTGCAAGCGTCGTTGAATATATCTCAGATTCTTGCTGATAATACACATTTTGTTACTCTGCCTTAAATGTTGAAAAAAAAATTCTCCATTTTGTATTTATTATTTATTTCAAATTAGTTAAATAGTAAATAACTAATTACATAAATGAAGTTATACTGATATTAATTGTCCTCCTTTCTGTTGTGGCCAAGTAATGGACTCATAATCTAAAGTCAAAAAGATCGTCACTTCTATCATCAACCTCGTCCATCTCCTACCTGTTCCATGGCTTCCCCAGCAAATGAGATACTCTGTTTCACAAAACCAACACGCAACTATTTGTTAATATTATCACTTTATCTTCTGCATACAAAAATCATGCTAGGATACAGAAGAAAAATTAAAATTAAAATCATGTTAGGCTACAAAGTTTTCATCAACAAATTAGCCATGTGCGTTCACATTCAAGTGTAGAATAAGTCTCCCTGATTCCTTCTTTATTATTTAATATTTATTAAACAAAAGCTCTTACAGGCCTATTTTAGAAAATTACTAACTTCATATGTCTCATCTCGAGAAACAGCCACGACATCTGTTTAATACTTAATTATTGGCATAGTAGCATATACATACTTGACGTAAGCAAATTGAATATGACAGGATGAAAAAAAAATTACCATGGGATGAGTAGTTGAGTAATAGTAAAAGTGTTGGCCATTGTAGCCGTCAGGACACGGTGGTGGCTCGACAACGTCACCGTGACATTCGAGGTTAACTCCAAATAGCCTCACCGTCCTCGAGCTCCCTGCAACCACCGTCGGTGTCTCAGCGGCGGCGCCTACAATTTTCCACCGTCACAACACGTGCGCGTCATTTAGTTACATATATATTTTATATAGTTAATGAGAGGAAGAAATAACGAGCACGTTAGTCTAAGTTGATTGGACGGTTTCTCCTTAGTTTACAACTTGTGAAGATTATTGAAATTGCTGTGGTTTTATTTTCTTGTCCAGAATCAAAATGACATATGGTGTTAAAGAAAAAGAGATTATCTATCAAAAAATGTTATATCAGGTTGTCCTATTATTTTCTGTACATATACACGCAACTAACCTAATTGTCACATATTTTAGGATAAAGATGTTAAATCTTGGGCATTTTTATTTCCGACAATATTTGTAAGAAACAGAAAATATCCGGCAGCTTAAATGGTTAAAAGCTCACTTAAAAAAAGTTTAAGCTAATCTAAAACACTAAACATAAAATAATAACCTATATTATAAAAATGTACGTATATTTTTGGGTGAAAGAAATGACATTATCTTTAGTCAAAAAAGAAAAAAAAATGACATTATCTATGACATATATCTTTAAAAAACAGAAATAGTACATATCTGACATATAGATAAGAAAAAAAAATTGAGATAAGAGAAAAAAGAGTTTTACCATAGTGTGAATACTCTTGATGAATATTAGGGTAAGAACTAGTTGACACGTGTACTTGACGGTACGGGTACGCCGTCGTGTTAACTCTAGCATCTTGAGACACGACGGAGACGGCGGAAGAGGGAGAAGCCTCGCCTCGTTTACGCCAACCAATTAAGACTCTATGGATATCAAAACGGTGCCGTTGAAAGAAAACAACGTCCCCCGCGTGGAGGTGCTTGTCTTTAACGTACCTGCTCCACCCTTTGGTCAACACGTAGCTTTGGCTACTGTTCCAATACGAGTATCTGAACTTCCAACACTTTCCTGACTCGTCCTCGAAGGTCAGAAGCATCCCTTTCTCCGTTGTCTCAGCCGCCGCCACGTCATTGTCGGTATTATTGAGAGGGAAGTGTTTCTCAGCGTATTGTTTGGGTATGACTAAACGGTTTAGCTTTCCAACGTCGCTTGGTGTTAGTGATTTCTCGAACAAATAGTCTCTATCGACCACGGTGTCGTTTTGGTGGTGGTGCAATGAGGGAGTGTTGTGGAGAATGTCCATTTTTTTCTAGTAGAGAGAGAGAGTAGAGAGGTTTGGTGGTGAAAGAGAGATGGGTAATGGTACTAATATAGTAGTATACAAGGAGAGTGAGATGAAAAATTAAATTGTAAAAATGGTTAAATATTGATGTGAAAACTGTGGGAACTATTTGATGTAGATGAAGAGGAGGAGGACACGACATCGATAGTTACTTTTAAGGTTTTGCGTGATGATATTTCTTTTCAATCATTATTTTATTTTCCCTTTTGTTGTTGTTGCAGATTATTGCCGTCCATGTATATTCGAGTAACCATATTTAAAGTTATAACATTAGCATTGGAATGCTCGTTTGATAAACCTTTGTTGGCATTGGATCAAAAGAGGTTCTATTGTTGTTTAAATAGAAGAAAATAATTAAATGGTACTAAAGTTAGTGTGAAAGTTAGTGTAGTTTTGTCTTAATGTAAATATTCTTCATATTTTATTATGTCACGAATATTATTGTTATTACGTTATTTTATGTTAAAGGACTTTCGTACAGTACATAAAATATGAAAAAAATGAACGATCTGAATTCAGACCATGTTTGAGATCTATGAGTGAACAGATCGAAACTTATCTGCTTGTTAAACAAAAGTCTATGACATCATTAAGACATTAACTAATAAGATCCTTAATAATGAACTTTTAAAGCAGATAAAACTCACTTATCACATAAATGTGTGGCTTGCATGGGTCTAACAATCCTTTTTCATGTGGAAATAGAAGACATATCTGATGATCGAGTCAGCATTGGCTTCTAAACGATTAAAGTCCTCAAAAATTAATCCAGTTCTCAAAAAAAAAGTCATCATAAATGGATAAATAATCTCAAAATGTATGTAACGTCGCGCGTGGGAGAGACTGTAGATAAAAGAAAATCATTAAACTTTGAAAACGTTATTAACTAAGAACTCTCTTTAAAAAGCAAATGATCGTTGGATGTAGTAACTTTTTGATTATATGTTCGTTAGTATACGGATACGAAGTGGCTTAAAACTATTATAATTGGACTTCAGAAAGTGACTTAAAGATTACCAACTACGGAAATGTTTTTATATTTTTGACACAGTGTTTGTTTCGGCTGTCTTTAAACGTAAAAGATAATAATTTGACAGTACGTTTAGTTCTAAGCAGATAAAATAAACGAATAAATCTCTTTCATATTACAAATGAATAGTACAACAGTATGTAATGAATAGGGATCCAGCAGCTGAGAAGTGAGGTGGTACATAATAAGTAAAAAGTAAGAAGGAACAGAGGATACTTACCCCTGACGCAAGTGAGAAGCTCAAGTTGTGGAGCATGTGCTTTGCCTTTCCGACACACCATCGCATGCATCTTCACTTCTACTTCATACCATCCCTTATGTTCCTTTCCCACTCTGTCTTTATTTTACAGTTTATTCTCACTTTTTCTTTATTAAAATCATCTTATAATCGAGAAGGATATAGACTTAACAAATATGTGTAACTGACTTGACTTTGTGGCCATGTTTTCTCTTTTTCCACTATTGAACAACCGCCATCCTATAGTTTGATGCTAACACTTAACATGCAGTGTAATGATAACCTGACATATAATTTACCAAGATGTTTAGCAAAAAAATAATTCACCAAGATGTTTAGCAAAAAAATAGTTCACCAAGATGGGAACTTGAGAACAGTGGGAAACATTTTGTTACTTGTAGAAAATTAGGTAAGGTAATATAAGGGATGTAATACGTAGAAAACACAAAGATATGTTTGGTAATATAATATCAATTGTTTTCATAATTGTTGGCACGTTTAATGAATATAAATTTAAAACAACACATCTTTCACATTACTAAAGGTTGCTATAAACGATTTCCTAAACAAAAAAAAGAATGAATTCAGGGAGTTAAAAAAATAACGCTTGTTTGTAATAGAAGTAAAAATTTAATTTTTTATTACTTGATTATTTATTTAATAAATCATGGAAGTTTTGATGATAGCTTTGGTGTTTGGAATATTATATTTGGATACATTTGATTTATAATTGGTTTTCAATTATGACATTAACTATCAACTATTTGATATATATAACATTGATATAAATACCTAGATACCACAGTTATAAAAAAAAAAACATTGATATAAATACCAAATCATTTTATTACATCAATGTTGAAACTAATTTTGGTCTAAATGTCTGAGTTGAGGTTTCTATCATGTTTGACGATTTGGGTAAATTCCTGTTATTACCATCTTAAGTCGTGAGTTTAATGAATATAAATATATATACTACTTATTCAGCCCACAGCAAAAATCAGGACGTGCATATGAATTACGTCCGTGGTCCTCATAACTTTCACAAGTGTCGTTTAATTAATACTGTATATTATTTGTAATGATATGATCGTGATATAATTATCACGTGCTTTCAAGACTCAATCATTGGTGCTTACACATTTCAAATTTTTGTAATTTTTCCTCACAAAAATACCAGTAATATTTGTTCAGCAATAATTTCCTATAGAAACAAAGACGTTTCTCGCAAATCAAATACATTTACTATTAAAAAACTACATTTACCAAACAAAACTTAAGATCATGTTACAGGTTCCCAGTTTCCAGTTCATGTTAAGGTAAGTCTTGTGACTTTATAAATTTATAAAACCATATATAAAAATTTATATATATAATCGACTAGCCGAGAGAAATATTGCTTGAGTTGCCAATATAGTTAAAAAAACAAAGATGCGATAAGATTTATTACATTGGACGCTATTCGTGTTTTCATGTTTCAGTCCTCTCCTGATACTTTAATCTATTGCGTTTAATTATATACGATGCAAATAATTATTCTTTAATGATACACCTTATCAATAAAGATTACAGATCACATGTTTGTCTGTCCGTATATATATGAGCTATTTGCTGGTAGGAATTTAAAATATAACTCGTTAAATGAGTTTTATAGGCTAAAATGTGACCATTCCTAAGTTTTTGTCATGACAAAGTCTTAACTCCGTAAATAATTTTGACTGAAAGAATAAATGTTGCAACACCGTTAATGGGATTTGTTTCATAGCTAGCTAAGACCCTAATATATGTCATTATCAATTACTAATTATTTAATTACCAAAGGACAAAACTGGACTTATTTTCTAAGGTTAATTTAGAGATTTATTAGGTCCATCATTTACACCTGCAGATGAAGAGTTTATGGATAATAGCAATTGCTTTTTCGTCAAAAATAGCAGTTGCTTAACATTTAACAATAATCCTCAAACAATGTTTTTACTTGTTTTATACTGATCCAGATCTTTCAACATAAAAAAATCGGAACAATTTCGGTGGCAAGCATTTTCGGATAGGTAACTTATAAAATATATGATTGAATCCACTAATAATTAATCTTATGAAAGCATTACAGAAAGTAAAGTAACAATTGTTATGATATATTGATATTAACAATGTATGATAGATATATTGATATAGCAAAGATAAAACAGATTTAATGATATATTGATATTAACAGAACAACAAACACATGGTAATGTTAATTCAGTCTCTTTTGCCAACAAACTTTTCAACAGGACTCCTAATCACATTAATCTCCCCTTTTAACCAACGTTGTGGCTTATTTAGATAAGTCACCGACTCATATGAATGGAGGAAATGAAAAACCTGCACACTTTTTATATAAATATGTTCAAAACACAGACGAGATTATTTTGTTATTTTTTAGCGTTGCGAGAAGATTCACGAAAATAAGGGTAAGTTGCTACTTTTGCTTTTTATTTTTTCTATTTCTGACATTTTATCCATCCCCTAGCAAATTTAAACAATTGAATGTATTTAAAAAATTCCGTGGTTTCACAATCGTAATATCAGTCCTTAATAATATAAGAACAGGACAAGATGTATTCTGAGCATTAAATGATGAAATCATGTTGAAACCAATGGCGCAGCTCCTGCATGACACAAGTACGTCGGCAACAATAAAAAAAAAAAAGAATTGATGCTAGCCGTGAGTCATGACTATTCATTTTTTTTTAAAAACTATTCAAAATGTTTTGAGGGTTGAGAAGGGCCAAGAACGAATATAAAACTGTTAACTTAGATTTTACCAGTAAATTTTACTTTAGTATTTTCGGACGATCTGTATTTTTGTATACGTACATGAACTTGGAACTTATTTATAGAACTTCTGAATTTACAGCCAAATTTTAGGGATGTTTTCGATTCATTCATATCATATCCAGTATCAAACATTAACACATCGAATACATTGAGAACGTTACAAGCACCCGTTGAATATTTTAAAATTTAAGTACGTTATCAGAGTATTAATCAGTCTTTTGAAGATTTACAAGACATATCAAGAAATCAGCTAACCACTATCGCAACCTCTACATTTAGAAAGAAATCAGCTAATCACCGTCCACATAATGTTGCAGAAATGCTATATATAATATCTACCACGGACTATATATTTCATTATTATTATTTGTTTTGAAGAAAATATATTTCGTTATTTCATAATGGTAGTCTTTTTTTGGTAAAAGATAAATGTGTTTGACGTAGTTGACATGATACATTGATGTAGTTTTCAAGTTGCTGCGAGCTAGGATCAATTATAGAGGAATTATTTTGCTTTTTAGTGTTGTAGTTAAGAATATTGGTCAACTTAAACTTGAAACTGTAGCTTCAAATTTTGAGACATCTATTACTATAAACTAAAGTTCACTCACTCATGGTAAAGCCACGTAGGATAATACATCCTCAGAAAGTGGACATGTGTAATGTCAACCTGGGCCTCTAAAGTTTGATTTTACACGGGCTTCATATTAAGCAATACGGCCCACGTCCGTTTCCCATGTTCTCTCCCCCAAATAGGGTTCCCCCTCTGCTACGCATACCAGCCGCCATGGACGACCTACCACTCAACTCCTCACGCCAACGTCGCTTCCTCTTCCTTCGCATATGTTACAGATTTCTCCGATGATTATACCCACACCC